TAATAAGAAAAATAGACCAATAAGAGAGAGACATATAAGAACACTCGTGTTTTAAGTTTCTATGCACAGACACGTTTCATGTTTGTTTTAGACATTTTCTCCCGTTTTCATTAGAATTTATTATTTGTCTAAGACACTCATAAAATGATGCTCTTACTTTCATAGATAGATTATGATGAAAAATGACATTTCCATAAATTTTATGCAACTAATGATGTCAAATGACATTTCCGTCCTATTAGAAAGTTTAGTCTACGAATCTATCTATGAATTCCACAAAGACACTGCCATTTTGGAATATAACCGAAACATGTAACCGGAGACTTGCATCTTTTTGACAGAGGTTGCTTTATCCGTGGCTTATTATGTGCCTAAACCGTAAATTTCACCCCAAAACCATTATGAAAATCTATATCCTCAAGAACATAAATAAACACATACTCTACAGAGCTAATTAACATTTAGTTAACCATTGGGTCAAGGGAACAATGCTTAGACCGTACTTAATTGTAGAACCCGCATTTATCCAGTTAAATTTAAGAATCTTGCTAATTACAGTGATTATTACTTGTTTAAAAACACACCACATGGCAACAAGCGCTAAGGGCAACACTGTAAAAGCACTATATCGATCGGTCACCTACACGTACGATAAATCAACGGACAAGATCTCATATTGTAATCACAGCCTGTCACTTTAATATTCACACCATTTTTCTCGTGTTATTTCAAATCTCAGTTTACACCTTCACTGCCTGCCTCTCTCTCTCGCTCAGATTAATCGCCGACCGACGAGAAGCAACCACCTGAGACGGCGGAGATGGCGGGGTACAGAGTGGAAGACGATTACGATTACCTATTCAAAGTTGTTCTTATAGGCGATTCAGGAGTCGGAAAATCGAATCTACTTTCCAGATTCACCAAAAACGAGTTTAATCTCGAGTCTAAATCCACCATTGGAGTCGAGTTCGCTACTCGGACTTTGAAAGTCGATGGTAAGGTCGTCAAAGCTCAGATTTGGGATACTGCTGGTCAGGAGAGGTTCGTTTTACCTCGTCTTCTCCGTCTCTCCATTTCGTTATTTCGTTTTGATTTTTGTCGATTTGTGTGTGTGTGAAATCGGATTTCAAGCTAGATCTTGTTCGTTGAACGTATTGCACTTTCAGTTTCATTGCGTTATTTCGTTTATGGGACAATTTGTTCTCAAGTACATCTGAAATTCGAGTCACTGTTATGGAGATCACACTCTTAAGAGCTCAAAGCTCCTTGCACAGATCTATAGATTTCCTTACTTGGATTGGGGAGTCTAGCTTTTGATTCGTTTGTGGAATCATGGTTTGATCTCATGAGACTACATTGGAATTGAATCAGGAACTGTACCTGTTTTAGAGAGATGGATTCGTATCTTTCTTTAGGTCTAGCTAGAAAATGGTGACAATGTCTGAATCATTTAACTGGCTTCTATGCTTGTTTATAGTTTCTTTTGTGTTTGGAGTAGTGAATTGTGCTCAGCAGCATTTTACTAGAGAGTCTCTCCGTTGACTTTATGTACTCAATCAAATATTGCTCTTCTGAAAACAGTTGACTGCATTTGACCACCAATGAAGGATAGATTATGGAAGTAGTTAATAATGTAGATGAGAAAATACTTTGTTATTAAAATATAAGTCTGTGGGTTTGACTCAATACCACCATGATTGCTTGAGTTGGATCTTAATTGGATGGATGAACAAGAGAATGTGCTTCTCTTCTGATTAATGATCCTTAGAATCACGAACACTACTATATAATATAGTCATTGTAGAATGTAATCAAAGATCTTGCTCTCTTCAATATTTGAGCTGCCTCCATTGAAACAGTGTTTTACTGCCTTCTTTGACCTGGCAATTTAGTTTGTGACTATTTTTAGCAAAAATGCTAGATATGGGGTTAGTATGCACATCCTTGATAGCTTGATAAAACATACCAGGCCATTTCTTGTACTAATTACGGTAGGTCCTGGACCTAGCTAGATTGAGGATAATTCCTTACTCTATTTTGAAAGTTCAGCCTATAAGAGTGTGCTTATTCATTACTGCATTTGCTCAATTTATGACTGATTCTCAGCAAAATCTTAAGACTCAGTTTGATTCTTCTCACAGGTACCGAGCCATTACCAGTGCATATTACCGTGGAGCCGTAGGAGCACTCCTAGTATACGATGTAACCCGCCGTGCAACATTTGAGAACGTAGACCGGTGGTTAAAGGAGCTCAAGAACCACACAGACCCAAACATCGTGGTGATGCTCGTTGGTAACAAATCTGATCTCCGCCATTTACTAGCTGTTCCTACAGAAGACGGGAAATCCTATGCCGAGCAAGAATCCCTGTGCTTCATGGAAACATCTGCCCTCGAAGCCACCAACGTTGAGGATGCCTTTGCTGAGGTTTTAACACAGATCTACCGCATCACAAGCAAGAAGCAAGTCGAAGCTGGTGAAGATGGGAATGCAGCAGTCCCAAAAGGGGAGAAAATCGAAGTTAAAAACGATGTCTCTGCTCTGAAGAAACTCGGGTGCTGCTCAAATTGAAGGCTTTTTTTTTTATTATTATCTGGTGAGAGAGAATTATAACCCCATGATCCATTGTTCAGTTCTGCTCTTGTTTTGTAACATTATCGACAGTTATGAGTTCTAGACTATTATAAATGATATAATGTTCTTTACCTTTATTTGAATAATTGTTACATCAGGTTCGTCCAAATGTAGTAATCTCAAGGAGACATCAATGAGAAACTGATTCGACCTATGTCCAAATGAGGCGGTAGAGATTAAACTCAACGGCGTGTATCCTGGCTTCAGTACCCATTTGGTTAGCTCGAGTCAGAGACTTTTGAAGAATTTAGCCATTGCTTTGCTGAAATCTTCTCGAGTCAATTCATTCACAGAGATAACCAGATACTCCACTCTTCACTGTTTCCTCATGGCCACTGC